GTTTAACTCTCCCTGACAGAGACTGCACAAGTGTGATCTCACAAGTGTGCAGCATATTGACAGCATGGTTTCAAATTCCATCTCGGGTCCAAAGCAACCAGCTAGAACAGGACAGATATGGTCTAGTGAGCCAAAATCCCATCTAGATTTGGGGACAATTACCTCCAAAGTTCACTAAGGTAGGCTTTTATGTTTGCTTTTTTTTCTTTTGGAAAAGAAAACACACACACACACACACACACACACACACACACACACACACACATTAGGAAAATGTGCATCAAAGTTTTATGCATAAAAGTATTGAACTGGGCTTTTGATGAAAGAGAGAAGGGAAAACATGTGAGATAAACTCAAAGTAGCAGCATCATAAACATGCAGCTCACGCCGTGCCTGCTTCTCACAAACTTCTATTTTATGTTGGTTTACGACAACAGTTTTCAAAACAGGAAAGTAGTTGGATATGTCAAATTATGTGTTTATACCAAAACACGACTGAGAGATGAATAGAGTGGTGCACAGCCTATGAAAGCTAAAAGCACCATGGATTCCTTTCAGCTGTCATTCACACTTAAGGACAGCTTTGTCTGTTATTGATTTTTTTTCTTTTCTTTTCTTTTTTTTTAAACGCTTTAGTGGCCAAAAGTAGTATTCTACCTGCATCGACAAGTAAAATTCATTTATTGCATCAACGGAAACTTCAGATTGAATTTGACTTACTTCAGAGTTACAGAGCTTCACATAACAGTGAGGAGAAAATGCAATTTTCCTCAGCTTATCCATCATTTATGACAATAAAAGTTTATATTTCTGTGCCTAAGTCATCCTAGAGTAGTGTTTCATGCCCGTGTAATTTAAGGTGCCAAATATGTTGTATGGCTTTTTCTTTCTTTGGGACATTAGCCAGCCATCTGATACCATCTTCATAATTCCTTAGCTCCTCAGTTTAATAATGTCCCTGTTTAAACAATATGACTGACAATGTTGAACTACACTGATACTTTAAATACCCCGTGCTTCTGTCAGCGAGAGCTTAAATGCAACCCAAGCTAAAAGACATGAGTCTTGGCTGAAAAGCCGAAAATACCAAAACTTTATGTGTAAAAACTATTTACTTCACTGGAACTATATCAGTATATCATCTCAAACTCTGTTTTCTTTGGTAGAGATGTACATTTTAAATGAAGCTGCATTTTTATTGTTTGAGCTAAAATAAATAAATAAATAAATAAAAACTATAGCAATTTAAATTTAAATATTGTAACAAAATACCATATATAAAAATACACTCACTTACTGGCAGCTGGATACTAGCAACTTACTGTTAAAGGTGTTTACTTTTACTGTAAATTAAATTACAGCAGCTTTATTTGCTGTAAATTAAAGTTCCTGCAAATCCTTTTTTACAGTTGGTTACTGGCATCCAGCTTTCAGCAAGTTACTGTAAAATTTACAGGTTAATGTATTTGTGCTAATTAACTTTCCATACATCTATTTCCCTCGTGAACCTGTCCCAGTTGTCATTGGACAAGAGGCAGAGTACACCCTGGACAGGTCGCCAGCCTGTAGATTCAATCCATATGCATGCGCTTGATTGAATCCCATTGTAGTGGACGTTATCTGCAGCTGTTACTTTGTTAAAAAATAGGACATTGCTGCTTAGTAAAGAAACAAAAAAGCCTTAAGGAATCGCCTAATAGAAAGTGAGTGGTGCATTTCAGCTTATTTTGTGTTGTAGAGTTTGGATGCTGTGGCTCGGAGCCTTGTGCATTACTCTGGAGAAACGAGTTTGTGTTGAACTGTTGATGGTGCACCTCATTACTGTAGCTTGGTGCCTCTCTAAGGACTGATTAAGGATTAAGCACATTTGAGAGTGCCAGCACGTACATATTGCATCTTCTTGTTTCATTATCTATACACAGCTCCTTTATCTGCAGCTTACTGTATATGCATGCAGTGTGCCTGCCAGTGCCTGCATTGTGTTCCTCAGAGGAAATCCTACAATCTCTCTGTTCTGTCCTCCACTGATAAATCGATACTCATTTCATCTTTCCCAAATGTTAATAGATAGAATGGGAAAAACACAAATATTTTATGTGACTGCTGGCCAGACCAAAAAAAAAAAAAAAACTAATAATGATGTCTGATGCTCTCTGCAGAAGAGGAAAGAAAATACCGCATGCATGCAGAAAAAAATTACATACAGTATGCATTATGGTAATTCTTTTCCAAAAAAATTGCCCAAATATTTCTTGGGCAAAAAAACTAATATAATCATGTGATGATAACTGCTGGTGTGTGTTGTTGCAGGAAGACAACCAGATGAAAACTCACATTCGGACCAGTTTAAGTGTTTGACAGAAACTAAGACGCTGAGCTTTTGCTTGTGTGGGAGGACTTTTTCCCCCCCTTAAACTTTCCTATAAGGTTGTGTGGCTCTGGCACAAAGATCACAGCAGCAACTTTATAGGTAACAAAAACAAAAACCACAATTTGATAAGTATTTTTGTTTTTAATAAAAAAAAAAGCCTAGATTTTGGAATTTAGCAACACTTTTCCAACATTTTTTAAGTTTTATTTTACATTTTAGTTTATTAGTAATGGGAAAACCTCTTAAAATGGGTAGTAGTATGAAAGTACAAACTTCTGTGCAAAAAAGATGTATGTACACACCACTCACATGGAGCTCTTAGTCACTTTTACTGATTAAAGCCTCTGTTTGCATTTAAGCATTCGTTTCGGTTTTTGGCAAACAATTTTTTTGTTTTTTCTGTGGATCTGGTTTTATATTTCATTTATTAACTGGAAAATTATTTCTGGCTTGGTCATTTTTATGCCCAAAATGCTAACATTAGTTAACATAGTTACTTGTAGATTATTCATGTAAGTCTGATATGCAAGTAAAATGTCAAATTTCAAGTCTGGTGATATTGAATATACTTGACTGATACATTTAGTTTATACTAAACATATTTTCCTTAATGATTAATTATTGGAATAAATAAACCTCATTTTATGGTCTTTTGCAGATAGTGTTGTGCATTATGGGTGTAGATATAATTTATTGATTTCATCAGAATCATTTTCCTCATCCCTTTAAGTAAATCAGTATTTTTGAAAACTACTCTATTCACCATGAATAATCCACAGATCTGAGACTAAACCCCTCACTTTTTCAGTGAAAGGATTTTCAGATGTGTGGCATAATTAAGTGATTGTTACCTTTCTCGAAACCCAGTAAAGTAAAACTTTTACTCATTTACAAAAAAAAAAAAATCTAGTGTGAATTCTCCAAGTTTTGAAAATTCTTCAGGCCTTCAGTTCCAGTATTTCTCTTTGTGGATCTTGGAGTCATTTCATTGGTTTGGTATACACTTTTATACACTGACGTCTGAGTGGACTCGAGAATTTTTCTCTAACTGATGTAATAGTCAAACACTTCACAGTTTATTAAATTAATGCTTCAAAATTAAATTATGTAGAAGAAGACGAGAGTCCAAGGCTCTGTAAAACATCTCATTACAAAACGCACGCACAGCATCTCTTATTTTCTACTTAGAGGGACTACAACAAGTATTTCTTAACTAACTCTCACTGATACCTCGACATTCTTCTAAAGGTTGCTGTGTAATTTTGTTCGCAGTGTAGAAAGTTAAAAAGTAAGCGAGCAAGGCAAAAAGAAATGCTGCTATCCTTGAGTTAATATCACTGTAGTCAGGTGGCATGTGAAGCCTTAATGCTGGTGATTTTACCACCCGACTATGTAAAATAACAATAAGCCCAAAACATTTTTTTTTAATCTGAGTGAATCAGTCTTTAAAATAAATCTTTTAAATGTTGTTCTTATGCCAGCAACAGTGCACCAGAGTGCATGAGATATAGTGTAAAAAGAAATATTGAGAAATTTAAACATTTATATTAAATGTTATTTTTGTGATATGTAGAATATGGTGTGAGTTTTTCAGCTCTGCCTAAATTAACTTTCATTTTAATGGACTGTGGGAAATAAAAACTGCACAGACGCACACAATACACAGTCACATCTGATATCTTTTGCTGGCTTGTCAGCCTCTTATAATGCCTCTGATGCTCCCCGGCACCTAACAGTGACCATGGATACCAGCGCATCTGTGCAACACAGTTGTTCGCCGTAATCTGCAAAACAATATTCTCATCTCTCAGTCTAGCAACTTGATATTGTTTTGGTCTCATCTTTGCAGCAAAGTTGTTTTTAGGAAAACTAAAAAGTTATGATAAGTTCATTGTAGCCTTCCTGCTCTGGACAAAAGAGCAAACACGCACAGTTAGTAACGAGCTGGTGAACATGATGGAGCATTTGGCAGCCAAAAAGACAAATATTTCATTCCAGTTTTGATAAAAACCACGAGCAGAACAGAATGGAGAGTTAGCTTCATCATGTGTCAGATAGCATGACTTGAAATGAATGTTAATGTTGTTCGGTATGTGGTGAATGTGTAAATAAGCAATTGTTTCCATGGCAAAAATATGTCAGTGTTCATTTACAGCTTGCTGTGCCAAAGTCAAGACATCGTAAATTAATCCATGCAGTTTAATTAAATGTTTGGCTGATGTCATAGCTAAGGGCATGCTGATAAGAGCCTTGAGACCAATTTGTGGTGTTAGGCTATATAAATAAATTTCCTTGACATGACTTAGCACTGTGCCTTTCACTTCATGTACATAATATTCATTAAAGCAGTCATTATTGCAGCGCTTTGCTTTGCGATATAAGGGGAATTCTGTATGAGGTGTAGGAGCTCTGCTATCACAGACACTCTCTGATTCATGATTCCAAATGACCGACAAATGTTTTCCTACCCCGTTTGTTACGGTCTGGCCCACTTTGATTGCCTCAGTGATGAGAATGACAAAATAACAAGAGAATTTTGATCAAAGACTCGGTTCAGCCTTTTCGAGCATCTGAATGTCGAAGCGGTGACGTGTGTAAAAATGCCGCTCTGCCTCTCTGTCTTCCTCAGGTGAGCACCTGCGTGTCTGTCCTCAGGGATACACCTGCTGCACGTCAGAGATGGAGGACAAACTTAACCAGCAGAGCAAACTGGAGTTTGAGAAATTGGTTGAGGAGAGCAGCCACAAAATGAGAACAACATTTGTCTCCAGGCATAAAAAGTTTGATGGTAAGTTCCAGTAGATTGATTTGTTTTATCTATTTAACATGCAGAGACTGTGATTCATAGAAATTTATATCCCAGACACCACCTCTCCAAGCTGAATGTACTGAGACAAGCACTGTCAAACTTGTAACTACAGACTTCTGATGTCATGATTAATTATTACTTTGACTGTTATTAATAAGAAATGAGCTTATCTGGTTTAAAGATGGTTATTCTGGAGCCTTGCTATTACACTTGACTTCTTCACTACAGTTCTGCATTATTTGGATTTTCTTTATCTTCAGGGCTTTCTAGCTCACTATGACGTTGTTCTTCCTTATGCACATACACTGTGAACTACTGACATTTTGACAGTAAAAGATGGCACTAATGTGGCTTTTAAAAATATTTTCATTCTAATGAGCCTGTCTGTATAAGCAGGGGTTAAAGTGGGATTTTGCAGGTGAGAGAATACTAAGTTCTGGTGAAGCAGTGCAGTCTGGAGAAATGACTCACTCTGCAATAAATCATATAATAATATATATATGAGCTCCAGTACATGTGCTTTGTTTTTAAACCGGCTGTGATCAGCTGACCTGGTCTGATGCTGCTTTTGAGGTTTCCTACTCATTCTGATTTTAGCCATCTACATTCTACAATATACAAGCAGATGTTATATGAGCCATCAAGGCAGATGTCTGATTGCTAGCCACTATGAAGCTGGTATAAATGTGGAATTTGGCAAGTGTTACCAAAGAATATCATCAGCTAAATGCAAACTGACTCCTAGCCGAGTCCTGTTACTCAGCAGCGATCTTTTGCTTTATTTGGATGGTTATTTTAAAGCAGTGTCTGAATTAACCTTGATTTTCATAGTCAAGAAGAAATAAAAACTGTATGCAAAGAATCTCTGGTCTGATCTTATAAGTATAGACCATGGTAATGAACATGGATACCACAGTTTGCCTTGCACCAGTTCTGCATAACTGTAAACTGTAAAAGAACACTGCAAACAGCCCAGTTTACCCAGTTTATTCTGCACATACTGTCCAATACGGCATTTGAATAACATTAAATCTATGATTTAATCTGCTTTCAAAGATACTTCCCAATATGAAATAAAGATCTAGATTTCTATTACTGTCCAGTAGCTGTAGTACTGCAGTATATTGATAACGTATGGTAGCACTAAAATGTTTGCATTTTTTACTGATACTGACATTAAACTTGTTGCAACCTCATACTAATAACATAATGTTGTTTGATGCTTTAACATATTTAGATAGTATTACTGTATCATAATACTGATATATCATAATGGCCTGTATGTAATTGAATGTTAAAAGATTATTAAGGCAAGCTTCAAGTAATTTGTTCCTACAATTGAAATCCTAGAACCATGTCATGAATCAAACACAGGTGTTATGGTTGTTTTATATTACAGCACTGAGATATAAACAGTTTATACATGTCTATACAGGCTGAATGATGACCCAAGTCTTCAAATTATAGTTCACAAAAGATTTGTTGATGAGCAAATACAAGAGTCAGAGCCTTCGTAAGCGTGCTCTGTCGCCACCATAAAACCTACGGAGGGAAACGGCAGCCTAAAAATGAGCATAACTTAAAATCCTGACCATATCGCCTCTGTCAGTGCGCCCCAGGGTGGCTGTGGCTACAATGTAGCTCGCCATCACCAGTGTGTGAATGTGTGTGTGAATGGGTGGATGACTGGATGTGTAAAGCGCTTTGGGGTCCTTAGGGACTAGTAAAGCGCTATACAAATACAGGCCATTTAGCATTTATATGACAGCTCAGCTTAGCTGTCTTTGATAATAAAGCTGTTTCTCTGAAAATTAATTGAGATTCACCTTATTAATGACATTCAGCTTTCAACAATATTTTAATTAATGCAATGATAATGTTTGGTTAAATGTTGATGGCAATTATATTCAACGTAATGTAAGATAGTAAAACAAATATTGTTAATGTACAGTTTCCCTTAAATGTTAATTATTGGGACATATAATGGATGTGGAGTGTAACCTTTTCTCATTGAAAAACATATTTGAAAGTGCTTCTAATATAACTAGATAACTTCATCATATACAGATCCACTGTCTGATTCAAAGCAATCCAACACAATTAATTTTTTTAACCTTTAAATATTTATTTTATTAAACGTCACTTGCAGAGCAGTCCTTACCTTTAAATATGATCTGTCAGCTTCTGCTGTTATATTTTCTTCCTCTATCTTTCTCTATCTCTGAGAGTAAAATTATCCCATGTCAGTGTTTTTTTTTCTCCCTGGAAAACAGAGCCTTTGTACCTTAAGCTAGCAGACAGATTGTGCACCAAGATGCACAAAAACAGTTTGTGTGTTCACTGATATTTGTTGAGCTGTTTCAAATCCTGTATCTGAGATAACCTGCCACTTAAAGAAAAAGTTGCACAGTTATGCTCTCTCCTCTTAAGTAGAGGTAGATAGATGCTGATATACGGCAACAGAAACTTTATTGACATCGACAGCATGAGTGCATGACACGGATAAGAAGGAAAAGAGGAGGCATGCAGCTGGAGTCATGACTTTACTGTCTCTGTGACAACAGTTGAAAGCACTGCCGGACTGTATCAAATAAAAAATGAACTTGCCTGATAGTATTTAGTGTTAAACTGCCTATTTAATTACTCATTAATTGAAGGTGTCAGAACGTTGTTCCAGGTTGTTCAGGCCCACTTTAATCCCTGTATAACTGCTAGAGCTCACAGGGCTTTAAACCAAGGCTCCATGGTGTTTAATGCCATTTACACTTGTGTTTCTGCTTGTGCCATCCAAGGCTTGCTTTTTTACACTAACTAAAGATATCATGCATTCTTTTGAACTAGTCAGATGGAAAAAACAAATTGTAGGTGCACTGTTTTTTCCATAACTAATAATAGTAATATGTCTGGTTGTAGCTGAATGCTGCTAATGTAATTGACCAAGCATTATCTACATTTAGGTCCATACGTTTTTGCAGAGTAACACAAATCAAAGAATAAATGCACTGACCAGCTCAGCAACACCAAAAGACCTGAATGACCACAGAAGACAACTAAGGTGGATGATCGCAGAATTATTTCCTTGTTTAAGAAAAAAAACTTTACAACCTCTATTCAAGTCAGGAACATTCCCGAGGAGGTGCAGAGGGTTTACACACAAGAATAGGCGGGTCAGACTAGACTTTGTCAGGAAACGTCTGATATAGCTGGTAAAATTATGGATAGGGAGAGACTTATGATCTGAAGCATACTACATTATCTGTCAAACATGGTGGAGACAGTGTTATGACATGGGCATGTATACTGCCAGTGGAACCAGGTGATTAGTGTTTATTGCTAATAGAAGTAGCAGGATTAATTGTGTAAAAAATATACAGAGCTTTACTCGCTGCTAAGATTCAGCCAATTGCAGCAAAACTGAGTGGACAGCATTTCATGGTGCAAATGGATAATGACCCGAATGACCCAAAGCAAACTGCATAAACAACACTGTCTTTCTCAAGGCAGTGAAATGGGATAGTCTTCAATGGCCAAGCCAGTTAGCTGATCTTAACTCAACAGACGATGCTTTTCAGTTACTAAAGACCAAACTGAATGCAGAGAGACCCACAAACCAGCAGCAACTGAAGGCAGCTGCAGTAAAGGCCTAACAGAGCATCTGAAGAGAGGAAACTGAGGGTGTCCAAGGGCTCTAGACTTTAGGGATTAAATGACTGAAAAGGATTTTTATCCAAGTATTAAAACAATTCTTAGACTGTATTTAAAATTCCATTAGCTCGGGTACTCAAAAACCAGCAGGATTAACTTTCTCCACTGTTGTTAGCACTTGTACAAGTAAAATGTGGTAGTTGCTGGTGTGTTATTGGTCCCATCAGCCTCTGTAAATGGATGGCTGTGTAAAGAAGGGACTGTGACAAACAGTTTTTTACCCAGAGATGAACCTCTTTAGCTTTGGGGGGTGAAGTGAACAGCCGACCACGCATTCCTCACTGCAGATTAGAAGCTCACTGCCTCGAGTGCCTGCCGTTTTTAGCATTGTATAAGTATGAGGCGATCCAATTGTGAACAAATGAAAAACTATGCTGGCTTTCTGGGGAAAAAAAGAAAAGCTATTGTGTACACTCCGTCTTAGTCCGTATAAACATCCATGAATATAAATATTTTTAAATGAAATGACTGCTTAATTTAACTTTATATTATTCTACTATATAAACAAAAATTAGCTTAAAATAAATTTGTTTATGCAGGTTGAAGAGGAAATGAAGGACCTTCGGTACAAAATATAGACACTAATGAATCTTGAGTTAGGGCATTTTTGTCATCCTTGGCTGAATACATGTCTAAAATCCTCGCTGTGTGATACGAACTGAAAACTGTGTAGTGAGTATAGTTGGAAGAAGCGAGAAATCAGTGTTCTACTAGCTAAAAACATCAATGGTAGTTTCTTTCAAATTTGTTACTGCCAAATGTTAAATGAGCCATCTGACAGGTTGGCAGTCAACTGAGGACAATACCTGCATGTCCTTGGAACAACAGCGCAGTAGAAATTCAGTTTTTATTGTTTTAACTGGTAAAATCAGCTTATTTGTATAATTGTTAGACAAAGACTGAAGGCCTGATAAGAGATTGTTTTCAATGCCTAAATGCATAATTTATATAAAGGACACTACTCATGTGTATAAATTATTGACAATCAAATTGCAGTTTTACCTGTTAAAATGACAAACACTGCTATCAGTGGGTCATATCAACTGTTACTGTTCATCCCAACTAAAAGTTTAAAAAATGTCTAATTAGTTGTCTGATGGTGTCTTTTTTCTGCAAGTGCTCATTTAGGATAAACCTTCGCTCTTTACCGTTGCATATTGACAAGATCTCAGACTGTTATACTATGTCGTTTTTTTTTAATCACACACTTACATCAGTTCTAGAGAGCACAAATATATGAAAATGAATTCCCACATTAAAAAGATCTTGTAATT